CACTCTAGCCTTCATCAAACGCGTACCCACTCTCGATTGTTCTAGACCTCTCGACACCACTTCACTTTCTTGACCTCTTTGGTCCAGCATCCAATCAACTTCCTAAAGTCACAAACTTCATAACTTAGTCCATCTAGCCGTCGCGCCGTTCTTTGATGCCTAAGTGGATAGCAAGAACCGGTCCAAGAATCTGAGCGATAGTGGGACTAATCAAAGTGTCAGTAACCTTGCTGGTGCGGCTTCTCACTCAGCACAAGCTGGCAATCCAACCAACAGTTTCCAATGGTCCAAATCCATTGACCGAGCATTACTAGTGAATCGGCAGGCAACAAAGATAGTGATACCTCATACTGCAATCACGAAATCAAGGCATGACCTTGAACATCCTTCGATGCAGATCTCTTCAACTACTCAAGCCGTCACATTCATCACCTTTGTACAAGATTTGGATCGCAAAGTCAAGAAATGGGAACCCGATATCGAGATCTTGGGTAGTGGTGAGAAAACTTTACATCGACAACGATACCAATTTCCGGCCGATTGGTTGTATGTTGATCAGATTGAGGGCGAGTGGAACGTATTCAACGCGTTATTGAAGAGGAAGAATTCGGCTATTCAAGAGCAGATCGGTATGTGAAGTCGCGGTCTATTGATTGTTACTACTTATGGCCTCATCTTCCATAAGGGCTGACTTTCCGGCAAACTTGTTTTAGGTGCTTTGCAAATGAGGATTGTAGCAGAAGATAAGGTAGTACAGAGCAAGATTGATGCTCTGATAGCTGATTGGGAGAAGGAAAAGCCAATAAGTGGAGATTTGAAGCCAGATATCGCCATGAACGCTATAAACCTCTTTGAAACTCGAGTGAATCGGTTGCAAGACGAACACAGTCAAGTTTGTCCAGCTAAAGAAGCACTCTAATGAACGACTCAAGCCGGCGGCTGAAGAGATATCAGATCTCAAAGCAGTTTGGACAGCTCTTTCAGGGATTTGGGCTCAACTTGCTGAGCTTCGTGAGATGCCTTGGTCTTCTGTTACGCCTTGAAAACTCCGACAAGCTTTAGACGCACTTTTGACGAGTACGAGGGAGATGTCCAGGAAGATGAGACAATATCAAGCATCCAAGTTTGTTCAAGAAAAGATTCAATTGCATCAGAAGAGTGTTGCCCTTGTGGGCGAATTAAAGTCAGATGCACTTCGAGAAAGACATTGGAAACTTTTGTACAAAAACCTTCGATTATCTGGTCATTATGCTCCTTCTCAAATGACTCTAGGCACGATTTGGGATATGGATTTGAAGAAGAATGAGAGCCTGATCCGGCAGGTGTTGGCGCAGGCTACTGGGGAGGTTGCATTGGAGGAATATAAAACAGGCAAGTTTGATTTCATGCTATACATAATCACTCAAACTGACTACTTATGATTGATCTCAAATGATTCTATCAGATCCAGGAGACTTAGGAAAGTTATGTTTTGGAAATCAAAACAAAACGAGATTGATTCGACGATGTGATCAACGATCTATTCAATAAGTGCAGTGAACATACCAGTGCGTTGAGTCAGATGAAACTGTCACCGTATTATAAGACCTTTGAAGAAGATGCCTTGATTTGGACGGACCGTCTCAACCGGGTGAGCGAAATGTTCAATAAGTGGATCGATGTTCAACGTCAGTGGATCTATCTCGAGGGAACTTTCTCAGGGAATGCAGATATCAAACATTTTATCCCGAATGAGAGCAACCGGTTCACCAACATCAACGAGCAATACCTTTGAAACATGAAACAAGCCTTCAAGTCTCCCTACGTATTGGATGTGCTACAGATCCCAGAAGTTCTCAAGACACTTGACAAGCTACTTGAATCACTCAGAAAGCTACAGAAAGCGCTGGGAGAATATCTTGAACGTGAAAGGTCATCTTTTCCACGATGTTATTTGTGGGAGACGAGGATCTATTGGAGATCCTAGGGAACAGTAAGTATATTTTGAGCAATACCCAAACCGCTCTGCTCGAAATAGCTGTTTCGGAGCTGTTTCGGAGCTGTTTCGGAGCGGTTTTGGGCCCCGCTATGTCATGCGCAGTCTATAGCGGGGCCTGCGCACCGAACTCAAAACCCTGGTTTTTACATAGCGAAAAACCGCAGCAAAATGCCCTGGGGCTTCGGGTTCTCCGCTACAAGTGCCGAATTGGAACCTTGAGGTGGGTAGAGGGCAGTCAACTGTAGTTACCCCACCCCTTTACTAGATCAGCGCCTCACGCCATCCAGTCCACCATCACCTCTTTCGATCCTAGATCAACACCTCCACCACCGATGGAACACGGCCCCTGGAATACTGTTCGAGGGCCAATATGTGGTCCGTCTGAGCGCCGAATTGTAGGATATTTGAAACTTATTGGTTGGTCAGTAACAATCTCCCTTCCCAAATCATCAATTGAATAATCAATACTTACTTTTATCATCTCACTATTCATTTAAAAACCCTTATAACCTTTCCTTTCATTGTTTTTCACAATCTTATCAATGGCCATCTCGAATACCCCATCTACCCAATCCTCTTCCAAAAGTTCCAATCTTCGAGTTCCCGGTTTACCCAGTTCTAGAACTCTTAGACCACCAAGTCCTGCCCAATCCCAGCCAGGATTTGTGGCGACCCCAAAGGATTCACGTACGACTCTGACCATTCCTTCGGACGGCGAACAACCCGGTTCTCTTTCTGATTGGCTTGCATCACCTCGCCCGCCAGTTCTTACAACAAAGAAGAAGACCAGTGTTCCAGTTTCCACCAAACCGAATGGAAAAAGAAAGGTGAGTCTCATTTCTCGGACTTTAAGCTCATACATCAAACTATTATATATTTGTAGACTCGCTCTTCCACTAGCAAACGAGTCAGATCACCGACACCCAGTTCGAAGGCTGGCTCACCCTCACCTCGACCCAAGAAGAAGGCCATCACAGATGTAAGCCCACTTTTCCTATTTCAATGTCTCTATAACTTACAGACGAACTGAACCTTTTTCATATGTGTAGGCATATGAGGTACCTGGCGATGTCAACTTGGATCAAGATTCCGATGTTGAGTTCATTGGGACCAATCAACCTGGCTACATGGAAGTTCGAAGTGATCGGGTGCAAGACCTACTTAAGTTCTTCAAGCCTCCTGTGGTAAGTTTCTTTCTCATTTCTACTTTTTTCTGTCCTTTACTTTCTTCTCATTGTGTTGAGGTTCAAGCTGATGTCTTCTTTTTGGTTCAATTATAGGGTCGTAGTTACAAGTGCCGGTGGTGCAAGAACACGTTCTTGCGTCACCCAACTTCCTACTGGAACTTATGGGGGCACCGCGACGGAAATGAGACTCGTCCTGTGTGTAAGATGCGCCATAAAGCGATCAAGGCAGGTTCGATACTCCCACCAGTTTATGAAGATCAGATCGCGGCAGAGAAGAAGAAGAACACCTTGGATTCATTCGTCAAAGGACCGGTCTTTTCAGTTGACTTGTTGAATATGATTCTCGTAATCTGGATCGTTCGACATGCGCTACCTTGGATTTGTTTTCAGACCTGGCTCTTCGTGCGGCCTTCTATTGTGTCAATCGTGGTGCAGTGGTTCGATCAAATGCTTGGGCCACAAAACAGTCTGTCCATCTTTTTGCAGCCCTGCACAACAAGGCGATCAACAACTTGAAGGTAAGTACAATTGTGACTATCATCACAGTATAGATGTACTTCAACTGATCAAATCTTTGAATTTTAACAGGAAAACAAAGGTAAGTTTTGTTTAATACATGATGTTTGGACCACCAGAGGCAATCGGTATGCCTTTGTTGGTGCCTCAGCAAACTATATCGACAACAATTGGGAATATCGATCGAGCCATCTCACCCTCAAGATGGTGGGATGGCGACATTTTGGTGCTCTGCTCGCCAGACCCATTGGGCGATTTTTGATTCGCCATGGACTTCATAAAAAGATGAGTCGATCTTTTTATGTTCTTTTATTTCTCTTTCATTATCTCATGTATTTAGGGTTTGCTTACCTCTTTGTATTGTACTTACATCTTAGCTCAGACTACCGATAGCGGAGGGAACAACTCGACAATGGCCTCCGAGCTCCAACGAATGTTCTCTGAAGCTGAAGAATCCGTCCATTGGTCTAGCCGAACTCATCACGCACGGTGTTATGCGCATAAGCTCAAACTTGTCGTTGGGCACGGTCTCAAAGTACTTGGTCAGAAGACCGGTAATGCGAAGCCTTCTATCCCGCACGGCGTTGCTCTTCCTATACCTGGGCTGGAGATCAACGATGGCGAGGACTCCCTTGAGTTTCATGCTTCTGATACGGATTCCGAGGACGAGGACGGCTTACCCGAAATAGCAGACGGTGTTGACGAAGAAGATGTTGTTCAAGACGAAGACGAAGAGTTACCTTGTGACCAAGATGATGTAGTTGCAGCTGCGCTTCAAAAGGTAAGTGTTCTTCTCACAACCTGAAGAATCATTTAGTAATCTAAATGATTTTGTCGTTTGTACAGGTTGACGCTGTCTCTGGACAGATTGCAAGTAGTGCAGCCCAACGCAATGATTTTAAGACCCGTGCGACTCATATGGGATATACCGGTCAAATGTTGAAGAGGCCTTGCAAGACTCAATGGAACAGCCACTATGAAAGCCGAAAGATAGCTTGTGAGGCACAGGAGGTTAGTAATTTTTGCTCTGACATTTCCATTGGTTTTTTTAATTCTAATCACACACTCTCTCTCTTTCCTGACAGGTCATCAATTCAATGATTGCAGCCGATAGAAAGGCTTGTTTTTTTAAGGGTGTCACAATTTCCGCTTCAGAATGGCATGCGGTTGAGATGGTGAACAAAGTTTTAAAGGCTAGTGTTTCTATTCTTATATCTCATTAATATCTTTGTATTATCAAGTTACTGATATTACTGTTTCTATTGTGTAGACTTTTGTCGATGCCACAGCTCAAGTAGACGGAAATGGGCCTACTGGCTGCATCCTCTTGGCTGAATACAAGCGGGTAATCAAAGAACTCCTCGAACTTCAAGCTGAAGCTTTCATTTTCCCGACCCTTGACAAGGCCATTGATGTAATGGTCAAATGGTTGACCAAGTACCAAGATGAGGCTGCCAACTGTGATGCAATCATCCTGGCAACAATTGTCAACCCTTGCTTTCGAGTGAAATTCTTCAACCTTCACTATCCTGAACATGAAAACTTGTCACAGGTTCTTATTGAGAATGCTTTCAGCTCTGTTGTTGATGAGATGAAGATTGACGAGCCAACCCCACCACCCAAAGATATTAACGACTCTACCGAGGCCGACGAATTTGATGTGTTTGGAAATTCTGACACCGGTCCAAGTAAACATTCGACTACAGAGCTGGAAGATTATTTGGCAGGTAAATTCCCAATCAGAAAAGATCAAACTCCTCTTCAATGGTGGAAGGTTTGTCCATTCCTATCATTTCTTCTCATCCTTTCTGATTTGGCTAACCTACCATTTATAGGAACATGAAAACCATTTCCCAATCCTTTCGTCAATTGCACGCGACTACTTAGCAATTTCAGCCACATCATGTGCATGTGAGCGGACTTTTTCAGCCGCTGCCGACGTATGTACACCTTCAAGAGGTAGTATGCTACCGAAGACGATGGAGCGACTTGTTGGATCTCAAGCCTGGTTGAAGGAGGGCATTGTCCCTGATGGTTTGTTTGAAGAAGCGGCCCAAGCACTTCTAGCCTATATGAAAGCATCGGTCAAGAAGCCCCAATAGGATTATTGCTCTACCTTTATCAACTGAGGATTGTTCCTCTTATACTTGTTTTCTTGCTTACTCGAGTCTGAACTCTTGTTTTCTTACACTCATATACATGTTTGAGAAAAGTTTTTTTTTCTATCTACTCTCCTACGTGACTCTAGCCTTATAGCCTTGGTCTCGTACACTTAAATTTGAAATACAGGCAGTTTTCTTTTCTCCTACGTCATCGATATCCTTGCGCTATATAGCGCAAGGATATCGATTTGTCCGCTCCGCTAAACGGTGAGGTTTTTTCCTCCTTGAATAGCGATATCAGAGCGGAGCAGTCAATAGCGACCACTCCGCACCGCCATGAAATTCAGTGAAATTTCATAGCGTTTCGGAGCGGTTCGGGTATTGTTTTGAGGGTTGTCAAACATCTCAAGAAAATGTTTGCTGGTCTCTCCACCTTGACTTTTGATGAGGAAATCACTCGGATTGAAAAGATGTGCTCGCGCAAAGGAGAAGAAGTCCCATTTTCGACTCCAATTATCTTGAAAGATTATCCCGAGATCAACAACTGGTTAACCAAACTCGAGTCTCAGATGCAGATATCTTTGGCCAAATTACTTTCGATGGCAATGGACCAACTGGCCACGTTTTATAGCAATGGTGATACATTGGACAAGGAGAAATTTTTCAAATGGATAGAATCATTCCCGGCGCAACTGGTAGTTCTTGCTGTTCAGACTATGTGGACACGAATACGAATCGTGGAAGACACGCTGAAGACAAATGCAGAATTGAATTCGGCTCTTGGGATCGTGATGCAGACATTGGATCTCCTTGCGTTTGTGGTCTTAGGCGAATTGAAGCCAGTAATGCAACGCAAATGTGAACACTTGATCACTGAATTGGTACATCAACGTGATGTCATCCGGCTTTTGATTAAAGATGAAGTCGACTTGGTCACATGCTTTGAGTGGCTTTATCACATGCGTTTCTACCTTGATGCATCTGTGTCGAATCCTACGGAGCGGCTATCGATTCAAATGGCTAATGCTGTGTTCCCTTATGGTTTCAAGTATCTTGGTGTACCTGATTGATTGGTGCAGACACCTTTAACCAATTGTTGTTACTTTACACTGACCCAAGCCCTTCACGGTAGACTAGGAGGCTCGCCCTTTGGACTGGCAGGTACAGGTAAGTGTTTATCGAAGCATTTCAAACCATATAATCCTTAAAGACAATGTTTGTCATGCTGAACTCACATCACATGTATTTTTTTGGTAAAGGTAAAATGGAGTCTGTCAAAGGACTGGGTGTTCAGCTCGGACGTTTTGTTCTAGTATCTGTTGTGACGAGACTTTTGATTTTCAAGCCATGGGTCGGATCTTTGTGGGACTTTGTCAAGTCGGAGCTTGGGGTTGTTTTGACAACGCTAATCAACGTGAAGAGAGGATCTTGAGTGCTGTCTCGCAACAGATCCAGAGTATTCAACATGGTTTACGTGCTGCTTCCATCGATCCTAAAGCCGAGGTGGAATTGGTTGGTAAGACGTTAGGGATTAACCCGCATACTGGGTGAGTACTTTCACATTTGTCTTCATTCTCTGATGAAAGAGGACACTTGGGTGATGATTGTGATGGTTTTATAGGATCTTCATTACAATGAACCCTGGGTATGCCGGACGTCGCAATTTGCCCGATAACTTGAAGAAGCTCTTCCGAAGCATGGCCATGACACGCCCTGATCAAGAGTTAATCACTCAAGTCATGTTATAAGAAAGTTTAGCATCCAAAGTCGTACCATTCTTTAGTTTATGTGACAAACAATTAACCCGACAACTGCATTACAACTTTGGTCTTTGGGCCCTCAAGGCTGTGCTGACCAGCGCAGGACATTCAAAACGTGGTCGACTTCAGCTGAAGTCAACAGATGAACTCGCGGATGTCTCGGATTCTCGCGCTGAACAGGAGATCTCGATTCAATGTGTCACAGAGACCATTGTACCAAAGCCGGTGGCAGACGATGTGCCATTGTTGACCAGGTAAGTGGAAATATTTCATCAGTATCTAAGACTTAAAAATGGGCAACTATCATAGCGACTGATCTCATTGTGCCTTACCCTGTACAGTTTGTTATCCGATCAGTGATCTCGACAAGCTCAAGGAACATATCACAGCAGTTGCTGCCAAACGTCATCTGGTCATGGGCGATGTATGGTGTCAGAAAGTGGTACAACTGTATCAGATTCAGAATATCCAGCACAGTCTGATGATGGTCGGTCCCGCGGCAACCGGGAAGAGTCAAGCTTGGCGTGTTCTACTCGCTGCTCTTGAGCGATTTGAAGGGTTTGAAGGCGTCTCCTATGTTATCGATCCTAAGGCAATTTCCAAGGACGCCTTATATGGAACTCTTGATTCCACTACGCATGAATGGAACAATGTTCTCTTCACAAATATCTTACGTAAGATTGTTGATAACGTGCGCGGTGAAGATGCCAAGAGACATTGGACCATCTTTGATGGTGATGTGGATCCTGAGTGGGTGGAAAACTTGAACAGGTAAGCTATGATCTATTATCCGTCCTGTTTTTGCGAGGTACTCATCAAGAACGTTGAACGGCAGACATCGAACAAAGTGTTCTTGATGACAACAAACTTCTTACCCTCCCCAATGCTCAACGGTTGAATCTCCCTCTAAATGTGAGGATCATGTTCAAAGTCAAGTCCCTCAAATACGCCACTCTAGCTACGTTCAGTTGCTGTGGGATGGTTTGGTTCAGTGAAGATGCGGTGACGCCGGCAATGATCTACCAGAATTATCTATTGATGAGCCATCATCTCGCTTTGGATTCCTTCGACAATGACATCTCATTGATGGACGCACCAGCCCGTTGACTGGATAAAGCTAGCAAAGTCTCACAAAACCTCACAACTCAGCGCCAAATCATCAAGGTTTTGACGCCTCACTTTGAACCGGATGGATTGGTGACAAGAGCGCTCAAGTACGCGGCTGATGTCAAACGTATCATGGAATTCATAGTGAACATGATAGATGGTTAGCAGCAACATATCTTCAATCGCCAGTATTCATGAAAAACTATCTGAAAAAATCAAAACCATTTTATATGATAAAAAATCCATAAAAAAACTGTTTCTTGTTTCAATTTAGTTGTACTTGAACCTGAAGAACTTGTAGGAGGCTCATCAAAAGAATTTAATGAAGAAATATTAAGGGCAAATGTTAAAGAAAAAGGAAAGGATACAAAGTAGGAAAATCAGACTGGTATTTTGGTTTAAGAAGGTTTGGCTAATTTGGTGGATTTGGGATAGATTGGTTTGTTGGATCTCTTAGGTCAAAAATGTTGGAGAATTAATTCAAATCCCTAGAGCTATTGGAATTATAAAGATTTAAGGAACAGCCATCAATTTTTTAATACATCATTATATTCTGAATCTCACCCATATTGAACACACCCTTCATCAATCTCTTGTCGGGCACATTGTTGAGCCATAATATCCTTGCGATGACTTTGATGATATTCAGAAACATCGGGGTCCAATTCATCAATCTTTTGTATAAAAAAATACTTCTTTGAAAAACAAGAATATAAAACGGTCAACAAGTCCCCACGATTCCTTAGGCAAACATCACATCTTACTGGATTTTTATGGAATCAAACCCTTTGATCAGATCAGATATATATGATAATAAGGTTGAACAAGGTTGAACAACCTCCAGACAGCCTCCGAATGTTAGCACGAGCTTATCCCAATCTTTTGAGATACCTGAACCTAATCCATCAACTGAAAATCAAGACGTTATACCAAGATCATGTATTCCTCAAACATCCGATCTTGATTCAAATCCTCAATCAAGATCAACAGGATATTCAAATGAACAACCTAATCAAATCACTCAATTGTCTGACAACAGAAGAAGAAAATTAATGAGTAATAATGAAACAACGGATTGGAGACATGCATTAGTGGAACAAATGCATAATGATTTTGATGCTGGTCTAGATAGAACGATGGCAGTGAATAGATTACGTCAACTGACCATGAATCATCGCGCATCTAATAACAATAACAACAATCTGAACCCACCCACTTTACTTTCAGCTGAACCTGTTCCACGTAACTTAGTGGGTACTTGACGTAACGTTTGATCACAATGTCAAGCCAATAATAATCTAAATCGTGGGATCAATCCAGCAACTTCTTTATCAGATCCAATTTCTAGATCTTCGATTCAAGTTTATCTAGATTATTGTGGTGCACCTCAAGCTGATTGTTCAATCTTTTGATTTCAATTTGCTAATCCGACATCATCAAGTTCATCACGAACTCGTTCATTATCATTATCAAGAGGAACAACTAAAGGATGTGGAAAATCAAACACGATTCGATCGATTAATCCTTCACATGCAGCTTGTCAACCGATTCCGAATGAAATGTTTAAAACTCCAATTGAGATTGTCTTGTCATCTGACTCTTATCCGATCTCTCATTCGGTTGGAATCATTGATTCGGAATCTAGATCAGAATTTGAAAATGATCCTTCTAATCCTTGTAATAAAGAAGATCAATCAACTAATCAACAAGACAAATTTGTTTGTTATTGTACTAACAACGCCGAGCCACTTACGCTCCGGATAGCGCTAACGTAGTGATAACGTAGCTTTATGCGTTAAAGTATCCAATAGCGTAGCTGGCCTCGCAATAGTCACGCTTGCAAATACCCGTAGTGGAATTTTTTCAGAAAAGTTACGTTATCCATACGGGATAACGGGGCTTTTTAAAAACCCTACGCAACAGGGCCAGCCCCGCTAATGTAGATAGGATAGCGCATAGTGTTACGCAGGGGTCTGTACCAATCGAGCACGCCACACTGGACCACTCGACAATCCGAATCTAGCAGCTCTAGATCCACATCTAGACCTCGAACCAGCAACGACAACCCTTTTTGGGATATCGTCATGGCCCAAAAGGATACCTTCATACTGCATCACGCAAGGGTCCTTACTGATCTTGATTCGAAATCAGAAGGTGAGTGACCTTTCGCTGATTTTCTTTCTTCTCCTTTTCGTTTCACTGACTCTCATTTCATTCTTCCCATCCTATCCCTTATACTTTTCACTTTCACTTTGATTTCTTAGCCTATCAAACCCATTTTCGTTCCCACAATTTTGAACTATTTTATAAAACTTATCACAGTTATACATCAGTCGCAACGATTCACCCATCTCAGCTTTTCTTCTTTTCAATCTTTATACAATTAATTCAATATCAATACTTTTACCTATCTGTCATGCCAATGCCAGAAGGCTCCAAGTCGCAAAACAATCCAATGTCATCACAAATCCAAGCCACGCCTGGTTCCAGTCGCTCTCAACGCATACGTCAACCAACTTCGAACCCTGGGATGGTTTCCCCGTCACCTGATGGTCGCCGAAGGGTTTCAGTCGAACCCCCGTCGTCAACTACCCACAAGACGAAAAACTTGGGAAAGAAACAATCATACACGGCTACAAAGAAGAAAATCACGACTGGAAAGAAGCAAGCAATGGTCATTGATTCTTCTCAAGATGAACAAGATGATGGTGATGTTCCTGATGTCGAAGTTGTTTGACAGAGAAAGAGAAAACCAAAGCAAAAAGACCTACCAGTAAGTAAACTTCATCATTCATACAATGTGCTCAAGCTGATGAGTCAGTTCTAAATCTTGATTGTTTTGTTAAAAGGACTATTCATCCAAACACGTTACTGAAGAAACGATCAGAGCCGACTCAGACGAAGAAAACAACACAGTTCGGAAACGTCAACGTATCACTATTGAAGACAGTGACAAGAACGATGCCCTCTTGGCATACTTTGGAGAACCTCAGTATCGTCCAAAAGATGTAAGTGCCATTTCGCCACTGCTGTTGGTTGTAATCTTTTTCTCCTCATCATCAACTGCTTTCCCTCCTTCAGGACAAATCCAAGCGACCACTAGGCTACCCGTGTTTGTGGTGCAGCCGAGACACATCTAACCCGGTTCGGATCAGCTACACCAACCCCACAGGTAATCTCAAAGCTCACCGCGATGGTTTGACTCAGGAAGGACGATCAGCAGCGGGCTGCCCTGGCCGACGTAGAGCTCGGGAAGCTGGGATATTGGTTCCACCCTCAGTTGCCGAAGTTCGCGCCCGTGAGGAAGCTGAACGTAAGAAGAACAATGGGCCACTCGACTCCTACGTAACAAGCACAAAGGTTTCAAAATTCGAGAATCTCACTTTCAACCAAGGCATGGCAGTCTGGCTGGTCCGTCAGTCTTTACCATGGACACGACTTGCCAATCCGTGGCTCCGTGCATGTGTTCAATACCTCAGACCTGAAGCTAAGCTTTATGGCCGGCATTGGGCTGCACTTGAAGCCAAGCGTCTAAACCTCTCCATGAAGGAGCAAGTAATCAACGAGCTCAAAGTTTGATATACACTTCTTCCCACTTGCTTTGTTCCCCATTCCTTCCTTTCCTTGAAAGTACTGACAATCTGGTTGTCAAATTCACAGGGCCTCGACTCTAAGTTTTGTATGCAGCACGACGTGTGGACTTCAAAAGGAAACCGGCACGGTTTTATCGGCGCATCGGTCAATTATATTGATCCCTCGTGGAAGTATGTTTCTCGGCATCTCACGCTGAAGGTAGTGGCATGGGAGCACAGAGGTGTTTGGTTGGCTGAACCGTTGGCGAATGTACTCATCAAGAACAATCTTGCTGAAAAGATAAGTTTAGTCTACTGATCTATTTCCATTAATACATAGACTGATGTTGTTTATAGTTGCGGACCTCACTTGCTTAGCCAAACAACCGACTCGGGTTCAAACAATAAAACCATGGCCAATGAAATGCATCGGCAATTCATTGGCCATTATGGTACTGACTCGTCCTACCAATGGAATCCCAAAACGATGCACGCGTTTTGTTTCTGCCACAAGCTTGCGCTTGTGGTAGGTGCCGGATTGGCAGCCCTAGGTCTGAAGACACCTCCACCTCGCCGTGTCAAGACGGCCGTTCGTGGACGGTTTCCAGCCGTTTGTACAACTTTACTTGAAGAGGATGAGCCGCCGGAAGACCCCCGTTCTGGTGATGGCCCGGTTCTCGAGGTACCTGATCTTCCTACTTCACCCACGGAGGACGATTGAGCTTCCGATGTTGAACACGACCTTCAAGAATTAGATGAAGATGATTTGGACGCCAACATTATGGAACGTTTGGAGGCTTCCATGGCAGAGAAAGAGGTAGACGATGAGGAGGATTGGGATGCAGCGGATGCTGAGGATGCTGAAAATCCTTTGTTGATGCTTAATGACACGGTGGCTCCAACTCACAGGAGGGAGGCAAACAAGTTAGATTACATTTTGGAAAAGGTATGTCTCATTCCTTCCTCACTATTTTACACCAATCATGATCGACACCATCCACTTACACCAATCATGATCGACACCATCCACAGCTCGACTTTGTCATTAGGAGGATCACTCGATCCTCATCTTGGCGTAATGAATTTAAAAGGATCATGAAAGCTCGTGGGCTATCTCTGGGATCGTTGATTGCAGGGTACGGAATTCGATGGAACATCAAGTACATCAGCAGGCATAAAGCATGGCTGGCACGTGAGGTAAGCTTTCAATCTATTTGTTCATTTAAACAAACTCAAACTGACATATTATTACGATAGGTGATTGACCAAGTTTTGAAGGAAGACCTTGCACGTGTCCATTCAAAGACTCGCCGACCTCGCAAAAACGGGAAACCTTATGGTTACTTCCACGAGATTTCAATAAGTCCTTCAGAATGGGCCTCAATTCAAGAACTGAACTCGGAACTTGAGGTATATTACAATTTGTCTTTTTCTTTCGATTTTTCATTGAATTGACTTTTGAATCCTTTCTTTCTATTCTTCTATTACATACAGCCGTTTTTGTCCGTCACCAAACAAATGGAAGGTAACATGCCCACTGGGGCTTTAGTTATTCCTAAATATGTTGAAATACGAATTCGGTGGCAGGAACGAGAGATTGACTTACCAATCAGGGACGCACATTACCCTATGATTGCCGCAATGCTTGCCAAGTTGCAAGTCTATCTAGACGAGGCCCTTGCATGCGAAACGTTGGTAACGGCAACAATTCTACACCCTGCTTTCCGACTTAAATTCTTCGAGAAATTCTTTGAGAAAACATCAACTACATACATCAATGCCAAATCAACCTTCAACCGGATCTTTCATGAAGATCAGCTGCAAACAACAAAAAAGAAGACCTCAAAAGCTCCTGTGTCAGAACTTTCAGCAGACCGATCACGCCCTTCAACTTCAGCTATATATGACTTGTATAGTGATGATGATGATGGTGTTGAGGACTTTGGCGACGATTCACAAATGAAAGAGTACTTTCGTGCTTCCGTTCGGATGAGAGAACCTGAGTATGACCTGGCCAATCCTAACGAAGCTCTTCGCTGGTGGGCGGTAGGTTTGCTGTCACTTTAATCAACTCCATTCAATCTGTACTAACTCGTTTCTTTACTCCCTTTGTAGACAAATTACGCTCGGTTCCCCATTATTGCTATAATGTCTCGTGATTATCTGGCTTGTTCGGGGTCTTTGGCTGGACCTGAGCGCACATTCTCAGCAGCAGCTGATGTGTGTTCAGCCTCTCGAGGAGGTTTAAGTCCTATAAACATCGAGAGATCGGTTTCAACTCACATGTGGCTTGTTGAGGGTGTACCTTTGGGCGAAGAGTTTGGCAAGGTTATTGAGTGCATCAGGGTGAATGATTTCATGTAGTTTCCTATTTGTTATTTTTCTTTTGTGCTTTTTTCTGTTTTTTCAACAGTGGCAATTTTAAAACACTGTTAACGAGTTAATGTAGAGTTAACGTAGCTTTGTCAGTTACGTTAGCATATTGAGATAGCGGTCAACGCTTGTAAAATCTACGCTAAGCGCTACATCGTAGCTCTAGACGGTACGTTAGCCATTTGTGAAATATCCCGATAACGGGTACAGCTACCCTACGCGTTATCTGCTATTTAGCGTAGAGTAGCGTAGCTGTCTCGGCGTTGGCTCTAATTACCAGCTGATTTATTTTTCTCACAGCCTCCTCGCCAACCACAACAGCCCATCCAGCCACTTAAAGCCTCTTCCTCCTCTTCCCCTTCTTCCAATTCATGTTTGTGCAAAGAGCTGTGAATCTTGCACTGGTTTCGAGCTCGGGCATGAAGAAATGTTGTAGAAATAGAATGATTGTATTTTTCCATAAGTTCTGTATCCATTTTTTCAAATGGAGTACATTGGACAATCAATACAATCAAAAGGTCCTTTTTGTTGATAATAACTACAGTTCCAGTATTGATTATAATATGAGGGTTTTCAAGTAAAGGGTGATCAATTAAACTATATCGAAAGATGAATTTTGTATCATAAGGTAATCCTAAGTCTTTGACAAGTTTCTTTTTTAAATTGGTGCGCTTGGTATGATGTCGTGGATAAAGCGACCCAATGGTTTGTTCTTTTCGATATTTATCTCGGGACTTGTAATAGCTTGGTGAGGTTCTGGACTTGAAGCCTGGTACATGAATTCCCGCTTTTTTCTTTCTGATAGTAGATCTTTGACGTGTCATAATTAATAAGTAAGAAAGATGGTTCAAGTTGAGTAGTGAAACCGAACTATCAAAGCTATGAACCAGAGATAAGATAGAGAGATATTTGCTAAATTAACCAAATCGAACTAAATACATACGGAAATAATGGTGTGTCAATAATTTTCAATCTCATTCAGGTAAGGAACGAAACTTATTAGCTCACACTCGTGATTGAATGCACTGATATGACTAAATCAGCTCCTCGAATGATCGTGTCCAGTATTCGCTGGGGTGGTGAAGGACGACAAGATGAACCAATAAAAGCTTTATCTGTTGCATTTCGGAAATCGTTGGGAAGATGAAAGGTCAGCATCCAACATCCCACTTACTTGGAATACAAGTATCTACTCACCCAAAGAACTTCCTCGCACGGGGTCCGATCACTTTGCAGAGGAGACTGTTGAAATAAGTAAGATACCGAATGGGAGCAATAGCGATTGAGGAAACACTGCTAATCGTAGAACTTCCTCCCTGAGATGGCCGAATTCTCCCGGTTCGTAGCACGGAGTCCGACAACGAAGGAGAAAGCAGCTCTGTCTGCAGGTGGAGAGAACTCGGAAGTGAAGTGTAGCGATGAAAAGAGGAAGCTATCCTCTGTCTCTGATTGGTTTAGGTTTGCAGAGGGGACTGTTGAAATAAGTAAGATACCGAATGGGAGCAATAGCGATTGAGGAAACACTGCTAATCGTAGAACTTCCTCCCTGAGATGGCCGAATTCTCCCGGTTCGTAGCACGGAGTCCGACAACAAAGGAGAAAGCAGCTCTGTCTGCAGGTGGAGAGAACTCGGAAGTGAAGTGTAGCGATGAAAAAAGGAAGCTATCCTCTGTCTCTGATCGGTTTAGGTATCCGAATCAAGTCACAGGTCAAATCCATTATGTTAGGGTCACATTAGGGTTGTGCAACCATGGGTTAGGTTTGGCGGTGTTTGGTTTTGGTCAACCTGTAAGTGTCTGGATTTCTTTTCCCAGATTAATCAGAAAAATTTAGAGTCGACTCTCCATCAAATATCAAATTCATGGCGATCAATCAGGACCACCATTTCGCATTTGGGCGCATCTTCAATTCCCTCCAGGCTCGAGAAATCAATGATTTGAATCACGAATCTCTTGAACTCGGCCATTACCACTTTGACAATGGGTTTGGAGAAGATCCCCATCCGAAAGCAAGTAATCATCCATTTAATTTAATTTATCCACCTGCCATCTGTGATACTAACTTATCTCAGCAACTAGGCTCATCTTCATTCTGCGGATGCAGAGGACCTAGCTACGGGACGCAGTCCCGTAGCGCCCCGGGACCGTACACCACGTACGCCTTAACCGTACGGGCGTACCCGGGTTGAGTCCCTTAGCCCGTAGGTCCAAAACACGTACGCCCCGCAACCTCAACCTCCAATTCGTCGCCTGAAACCACGTTCAGGCGACGTTCTATGGTTACAAAACTTAACAGACACGCCCATGGTATGATGTACCCACCTTGACACCCTCCAATTCGTCGCCTGAAACCACGTTCAGGCGACGTTCTATGGTTACAAAACTTAACACACACGCCCATAGTATGATATACCCACCTTGACACGCATGTAGGCCCTCACGTATAAGACTGAACCTCACCTGAACAAATATAGGACTGAACCTCACCTGAACAAATATAAGACTGAACCTCACCTGAACAAATGGGAGCCATCCCAAGGTTTCGACGCCCAAGACCAATCTCAGGCGCCGTGTATCACTGGGTACAGCGCCCCTCAAAAGCTACCATGTAGCATGCAAAACAGCCTGATGATATCTGACACACAATGTTGTGCTGAACAGACCCACAATAGAACCAAACGTCGCCTCAAACCCTTTCCAGGCGACGAATCATCAGTATAACACTGCTGGTATACAGGTACCACACACATGTAATGTAATTTGCGCAGCCGCAGTTAGGTTAACAGCAGCTGCGGTTAACCTAACGTGGTGATAGACACCCCTATAAATACCGACCGATACACTCTGATACGCGCGCGCACCAATCACACCCTTAAACCTTTGAACCACAACAGATCACCCATAAATCACCACCACCACACCAGTCCGCACCTACATCTCCATCAAAAAAACCATGAGCCAGGTCAGCCATCCCTCATCAGCCTTATCTTATTCCCCCACCCCCCTTTCTCTGTATTACCAACTTCAGAACCAAACCACCCGGACCAATCGTCGCCTGAAGCAACTTCCAGGCGACGATTACAACGCTTGGGCAGTCCAAGATCCTTCCACCAGCGTTGATATCTGTCAAGGTAGCAAATCGTTGCCTGAAGCAACTTCCAGGCGAAGATTTCAACGTTTGGGCAGTCTGAGATCCTTCCACCAGCGTTGATACCTGTCAAGGTAGCAAATCGTCGCCTGAAGGGCATTCCAGGCGACGAATCTGTCTCACTGGCTGATACCACGACTTGGACACCATGATGATATCGCAGCCTCGTCTGAGATTGATCTCAGGCAATCATTCATTTACACTCAGTACTGAACACCAGCTTAATCAAACGTCGCCTGACGGGCATCACAAGCGACGAATAAACCACAACCCCTTCATCTCCAACGTCGCCTGAAGCCCATTCCACGCGACGATCTGCTCCAGACACCTCCCTCTTATGCGATGCGCAAACGCCGCCTGAAAAGCTGTTCAGGCGACGTTTCATTACAAAATCTTCATATGAACACCCTACTTACTACTTAACCTCCGTTTACGAATGCTGATAACCCACTCTGACCATCCACAGAGCAACCAATCCACCAGAGAGGAACTCATGACCGGACGTGGAACCACGCCTACTCCGAAGGCACCCAGGGTGAGTATCAAACAAATGAACCGCAAGCATCAGAGTGTAAAACTGAACCAATACTTGCCACACCTCAGCACAAAAGTCCGGCGGGCCCAAAAACCCAAGCAGATCCTGTTCAAGATAGAGCACACAAGGTCAGGACCTTATATACACCGCATGAAGTAACCGGGCTGACTGTATTACGAGTAGACTGGAAACCCACCCCATCAAGACGAGGAGAAAGATGTGGAGAGTGACGACTGGCCAAATGAAGATGTCAGTTTTGGAACTCACTTACCTGCACATAAGAAGCTGAACCGTAATCGCCATGCAACCTCACAGGAAGAACCAGGTTTCCATCACAGGCCGTGACCGCACGAGAAGGCAGTGAAGAAGTAAGTATGACTTATCCCTAATATTCCTTATATCAGTACTGATTGATTCCGCGATTCAGGAATCAGGCGACAGTTCTTCGGACGAAGAACCGGACCTCAAGCCTGTTCCAGTAAGAACCACTGACTGATGCACCACATAAATATGACAAACCTACTATTCATGAACCATGCTGACACGCCCCTTTTTGATACACAGGTCACCATGGGCAGTAGTCAGTCCTTTAAGATCGAGGTGGCCAAGGAGCAGTACAGTCTCAGTGAGTACATTCACGCAATGTACTTATTATGAAGTCCTCTACTGACAGTTAGCTCTAGTTCAGAACTTCTACACTGTGACGAAGGAAAATATGGAAGGTGTACTTGCCTCTAGTGACCCCGCTCTCATTGGCAAAGAGATCAACCTTATGACCTCTACCTTGAAAGCCATTCAACAATCTGTCCGCTCCAAAGAAAAGAAACTTAACGCCGCTATCAACGCCAAGCACCCAGAGGTCACCATCATAGAAAGGGCAATGTCCCCACTTATCCTGAAGCCCAAACATCCGGATACTGTTCCAGCATTGACTGCAGGAGGGGAGGACCAAGCCCCAGGAAGTAAGTGAGACTTTCTATAACTGCAAGGCATGTATACACGCTGATAGAAGTAACTCACCGCAGAACCTACTCAGGAGGCTGAGGAAGGTGTTGTGTTGAAGGGCGATGTCGAAAGTGAGTGCAGGAGGCCGGCAATTGGTGGTGATTATCAGCTCATTTGAGAATTGTCGATTCAGCAGCAGGAAATCACAATACAGACGGGAATGGAGAGGCGGAAGTGGAAACACGTAAGTTTGATAAGCATATAGATGACCAGATTCAAATGACTGACATACCTATGTACAGAGCCAGGCGAACGCCTTGCGGCTGATGTGGAGGGGGCAGGGGCAGGACCGGAACGCCCTGTGGCGCAGAAGAAGCGGGCGGTGAATGTTAGACACGGTAAGGATGAGTTATTTTATATTTAATTCAACGTTTGAAGCTGACTTCAATGGGACATTCCTACCACCACAGCACCAACCACCACCAAGCCTCCACCTTCGAAGCGCAACCCTGCGGCCGGCAAATTCAAAAGCGCAGAATTTGTTGATGACAAAGACATGCCCAGCCATGCGAGGAATGCGACAACGAGCCTCACCAACCCGCCACCAGCTCCTCAGGCAGCTAATCCGCCAACCGACTCTCATGCTCAAGGCAGGACCACCGCGGCTACACAGCAGCCACGTACCGGACCTCCCACCGCGTCCACGTCTGCTGCCCAGTCTGCTGAACCCCTTGGGGAAGTCGTGGTACCTACGGAAAAGAAGAAGGCACGAGGGAAGAAAGGGCAAGAGGAGGAAAGGCCAGCGTTTAGGCTTGAGGTGAACAAAAACCACAAGTTTCACAAGGCCAAGATTTACCTAGGCAGTAAGTGTGACTATCCCTTTCACATCTTTTCCCCTTACATCCGCCCCACTTAATTTCTACTCTGCTGCATGCGTCGTGCCCTACCACCCCTTCTGTTGACCCGATAGTACGTGGCCTTGAAGGAAACGTCGCCTGAAGGGTGATCTAAGCGATGTTTTATGAATTCCATTGGATTCATGGCATTCCCAGCATCCAGAACGTCGCCTGGAAGCATCTTGAGGCGACGATGCGGTGTTGCAATGGTTATCATTGACATAGATGAACAATGTATCAAACGTCGCCTGATATGTATATCAGGCGACGTTTGATACAATGTCTGGACCTCAAATCGTCGCGTGAAACATATCTCCGGCGACGATTGGCTGCGTTTGAGTCCATCCATTCGTCGCTTGAAGCCTCTTTCAAGCGACATTTGACATCATTAGAGTACATCAATTCGTCGCCTGAAACATGTCTCAGGCGACGTTTGGTACGATTTGACGTGTTTAGCTGTATCAAACACTGAGACTCGAAATGCACTGTAGCCAACAAATGCACATAGATTCAAAGATTCATTCGCCTGATGTCACTAATGCTTCATACTGACCTTTGTTACTTCCCTCACTTTGCCCACACTCAGATTTGTTGATGAATAAGACTCCCAAAGAAACCCAGCGTATCCTGGCCTTTGAGGATCAAATGCCCACTGGTCAGTACCAATGGGGCGAGGTTCTCAGCTACCCGGTGCGCACCATCCTGCATGAATGGTCCTACGACGAAGCCACCGAAGCTGGCAGGGCCAATGCGGACGACCTTCACAAGTTTGTGCTGTTGATGAAGGACATGACTGATGATGACAAGATGTCCACTCAATTGAAATCATGTCAGTATAGGTTCTTCACAACATCTTTTATTAGTGATTAACTGATGTGTCATCACTCCGACAGCGCCCTGCTTGATGCAAATTCATCAGGCTGACCCGATATGGCGCCCTGAGAATATCAACTGGGCCCTTGTTCAAAGGGCCACGGAATATCCCTGGAAGCACAGGAACGCCATTCTACGCGCCCTCCACCAAATGACCTGCCGAACCTACAATAAGTAACAGTGGGGTACTGATGCCGAACTCCTGAAGGACCTCAATGGTGGATTTCAAGGATTATTTACATGTCTTCAAGAAAGTTTGGATCATATCACGCTAGACACTGATCACCACGAAATCACCATTGTAACTGAAGGCGAAGATTCCGTCCACGAAGACTTTGTGGAGCTTTCGAAAAGCATGGCTTGGCTCTTCCGCGGAGCGATGGTATCTAATCGGCCTGAAGTAGATGGGAAGAAGAGTAGCACACGAAACCCGCATCGCGGTCTAGCTTGGCTGAAACGCAAGTTTTTCTTAGTCCTTGTTGGGGTCCTGATGGTATACGAGGCCAAACAGCAAGATCTTCGACTCGAACGCGCCAAAGAGAGCCGAATGCCTCAAGCCGCCATCACAAAGCTGAAGGCGCAGCTCAAAGACAACAGTTGCATCAAGCAATTTGTCCGAGAGCAGGTCAAGGTCAAGCGGCTTGCCATCAAGGGCGACGCGCCATCAGCTATTGAAGGCGACGGCGCACCTACGGAACGAGATCATACTCGCGCGCTCTCTGAATTCCGACGCAGTGTCATGCAACATATGGCCGTCTTCTTGGCTTTCGGAACTGCCGGGTTGTTCCATGTCTGGCCAGGAAGTCATGATCAAAGTATGCAAGAAGGCGGTCTTTTGATTCACTTGACGTCTCTTCTGGTAGCTTGTTGACGTGGCAAGGTTGATGCGGAGGAGATTCAGGAGCAGTGGGGTTATGGCTGTCGAGCTTGGAATCGCATGGACAACCACATGTATTGAATCCTCAAGTTATTCATGACTTCAGATGGTGTCTTCAAGACGGAGGTCAACTGGCCAACGATGACGGACTTATTCCGAGATCAATTCGATGCCACCAAGCTGGCTCATGTGCTCACCCTTGACATGCAATGCGAGATCTGCCTGCCAGGTCAGAGCCGATCCTTGACAGGCGCTATTGCACCCCCGGTTAAGGACAAGGACAAGGCCAAACAGCTACTCAGACCTTCACAGGTTCAGTTTTGCAAGATGTTTGGCCCCACCGAAGGCGACTTACATCCAGTTTCCAAACGAGGTGAAGGCCTCCACCCGGAGAAGCAAGCTTCCAAGGACAACCCCTCGACTTCGACTTTCACCCCTCAAGATAAATCAGCTCCTCAGCAAACTCAAGTTCAATCCAAGGGTGCAGGAGGTGCGGAGAAGCGTGCTAGTACGTCTTGGGCACCAGTGGTTAAGAAGAAGCGTAAGTTGGTTAATGCTACGAGTGAAAAGGCTGGAAACAGTGCCACGGGGCCATCTCAGGACACCCAAGCGAGCCAACAAGGTGCTTGAGACCCCTCAATGATTGTATTTATCGGTAGCACCCAAGTTGTGATTTTTTGTTTGTTCCCTTTTCGAAAATCTAAAGATATGTGATCCCATGTTGCCATGTGTTGTTTTTTGTACATCAATTGCAACGCAGTGCCTGACTTGAGTGATGCAACGTCTAAGAGTGAGTGTGGAGTAGGTACCGCCCGGTGAGATGGTATTAGCTGGTGTACATGCAAAACGTCGCGCGAGGTGCATTTGAGGCGACGAATTCCTTCAACTGTGTGGAGTAGCCACGCGTAAGTGGTGACTCCGCATACCACATGTCATATGAAAGTGGTGGTGCCTTTCAAGACATCATGTCCACCTGTTCATGTGGCCAGTGGCCTGTGTGTCAGTGTATCAGTTGATGTCCAATCCAAACGTCGCGCCAAATGCGTCTGAGGCGACGTTTACCTCTTTCTGTGTAGAGTAGGTGGCCTGTGTGTCAGTGTATCAGTTGATGTCCAATCCAAACGTCGCGCCAAATGCGTCTGAGGCGACGTTTACCTCTATCTGTGTAGAGTAGCCACGCATAAGCGGTTACTCTGCGTAATACATGTCATATGAAAGGCTTGTGGTGTGTGTCAACATATCATAAACACTTGCTCATTATGTGATCATGAAGGTCTGATTTGTTGCGCATCGTGACTTTCAGGCGACAAAAGGTGATACAAGTAGGTTCCAAACTAATTGGACCTACCATGCCCAGCATGCCCACACCAGTGGCTGGAGACGTAGGTGTTGAATGACTGTGTTGGTCTACTCCTACTGCGCTTACGCAATAGTCCCTCCAGTATAAGAATAGCACTACATGATACAGGCATTTGGGGGTGCGGTCTGATATGAGCACCCACGTCTCCAGCCGCAGACATCAGTCAAAAGATACACAAATATGTATTCAGTAATTTGATACACACCATGCCGTAATATGCTAGCTTCCCCAACAAGGTATGAAGCTGTCTACCACATTGAAATGCACTGAGGTGCCAGAGACACCAAATAGGCTGATGAATCCCTCTGATTGCTGCCAATGGGCACATGTACTTCCTTACAAAGCCAGTATAAAGCTTCACAACATCATTGGAGGATCTTGAAAGAGTGACGCCTTTTGTATGTCAATCCAACATACCAACGCACATAACATATTACACAATGAATGTGGCCATTGACATTGCTTGCATGCATCCTTGTAATGCCATGACTGGTGACACTACAAAGTAACAAGCTGTCATTGTAATCAGAAATATTGATGATTGCCTGAACCTGGAAGTTAGATGTAACCCGCAGCCAGGCCAGCAACGTCTGGTATTTTGGAATGTGATCACAGTTCTTTATGCTTTACAACATTTCTTTGTGGTTGGTTAACATCCTACGTGTAGGCAATATAACAACTATTTGTTGGCTTAGCTCCAATTTATCTCATCAAGATACCTCGCCTATATATTCACCCAACAGTATTCCAGTTATAATATCAGGGTCTGGCTTTGCGAGTGAATCAATAATCAGGCGGAGTAGTATATACGTCATTTTGATGCGGATGGTAAGGTGAAACCTTGCCCCCCAGAGCAGAGGCATTGCTGCGCACAGCTGCGGCTAAACCTAATAGGTTTATCCGCAGCAAGTTTATCACCAACTAGGTTAGACTGTGCTCTGCTACTTCTACCCTGTCCCCGCCCAACATTCCGCAATATGAGCCTGACAAGTCCGGCTGTGACACTTGCTGCCGCTACATTTCACAGGCAACCTACCCTACGAAGTCAACTACTCACTAAGAAGTACACCGGGCTACAGTCAGGACTGGTAAGCCGATAGACCATATTGCCATCAAGTATAGAAGTGATAACATTGCGCCACAGCCTCTATAGGCTCCAACGGCACTCCACAGGCCTTTTGCACGCCAAACCACGTGCACACTTTGACTGTAAAGTGGACCCACGGGAGGGCTCAACGACAAAGCTTCCACTGCAAGGGTGAATCGAGACAGTTTGGTATTTTCCAAGTGTGTAATCGTCGCTTGAAACGTCCGTCAAGCGACGAATTGAACGCCAACATGGTATCATGCGCTTGGCACAGGCATTCCTTACCACCCGATTGACCATTATCGCCCATTGGCTCACAAACCTCCTGGTATTTGTAAGGGTACACAGATAGACAAGTGGCTATGGGGTTAGACTATGGGATTAGACATATTAGAGTACACTATCTTCCTTCACGCCCGGCTTCGGATGGTTCCTTACTCCTTCGAGAGCATCATTTCGGACCATCTGGAGCTAGGTGAGCTTATTTCTCTTCTTACTCCTTTGGAGCATTTCTCTTGTTATCTTGTTAGTTGTTGTGTTGCTGACTCCTTCGAGAGCATCATTTCGGACCATCTGGAGCTAGATCGTAATAGAAACAGAAGTTCCAAGTCCATCGCTCTCGTGAGAAGTCGTGCCGGACTAGTTTCCGGACCCCCAGTGAAGGTTCTCACGAGAACCTTACACTTTTTTTGACTTGATTCACTTCGAAAAAAAAAAAAAAAAACAACAAACAAACTCTATTCATCATTTTTTTCTCTAATAAATTCTTCTTTCTGTCACTCTGTTTCCTCTGTCACCTGTCAACCCGGTTATCTGTTCACAAATCAACTCTGTCGATTCACCTCGGTCAACTCTGTCACTTCTCTGTCACATCTGAACCTTTACAAACAAGGCCTAGGCGAATGACCGACAGACCTTCGTTGAAACCCGATAACTTCTTAGACGATCCGGATTTGCTACTACGGAAAGCACGGAAGGATAAACAGAAAGCGACATCTGATTCTCCGCCAGCAGCCGTTGGGCCATCTTACTTGAGAAGACCAGAGGCATCCGTTTCTGGATCACCGGCACCGACGGATAAGATACTGTACGCATCCGGTTATCAACCCAGCTTACCGGTGGTCTCCTCGGTGAATTTCTCGCCGCCACCTGTCTCACCATCAGCATCGGATCAAACTGTTGTCAATCTTCACTTTCAAAAACTCCTCAGCAATCAACTACTGCCTGAAACTCCTCATCCACCGGGTTATTTCCAACCGGAAACACCCCTTACCAGAGACTCGGAAGTCACTCTTGGTAATCCCACATTGACGTGCGAGTCATCTAATACGATGGCTAGTGATCAAGAGACAATTGAGTCCTTGAGACAACAGGTGGAAGGGCTGAAGGCTCAAAACGAATCGCTGGCACAAGCTCGCCAGGAGACTCTCACACTGCAGGCGCTAGTGCGTGAATTGATGGCTGGAAGGATCACAGCATCGTCGCGCTCCGGACTCTCACCTGGTGCGGATCAAGACGCTTCACCTCAAGATGGAGGGAGATCTTTCGTACATTACATGAATACGAGTCCTCTGACGCCCACCCCTCTACCTGGAGGATCTAACCGGCCAGACGAGTCTACTGGTAGACCTTTACCAGAGGCATCGACAGCACAGACGCCAACCTTACCAGCGAACTTGGGAGACCACCAGACGCACGACAACGTCCACACAACGTTACCACCGGAAACCCAGGCCTCAGATCACGGTTCGACAGGACCAACTCTGACGAGAGCACACCAGCCAACGACTCCGCTCTCACCTCGAGCGGCACCAGCTGCATACACTCCTCACCTGGGCTACTATCACCCTGCTGGGCTAGACTTACCACCGGCACCAGTCAGCACTATGACAGCCGAGCGAATAAATAAGCGAATGC